AGAATAATTGGGAGGCCCCCTTGGCTCCTTCGGATAACGTTTCAGGTATGGTTAGATTTTGGTTTAAACTTAAGAGAATCAAGCAACTTCTTGTTTGGTGGAACAAATGTGTTTTTAAGAACATTTTCACTAATATTTTGGAGGCGAAAGAGGAGGTGAAAAAAGCTGATGAGACCTTTATGAATGATTCCTCCCCCATTAATTTATCTATCCTAAATGATGCTAAAATTTCTTTATATAAGTTGCAGGAAAAAGAAGAAGTTTATTGGAGGCAGAAAGCTTCTTCTAAATTTATTGTGGAAGGTGATCGTAACACTAAATTTTTCCACAACATAGCCAATCACAACAAAATTAGTTGTCAAATTCATAAAATTAGTGGTCCTGAGGGGGATATTATTGAACATCCTGATGCTATTGCCCTCTTAGGGACTGATTTCTTTTTTAAACTTTTTAACTCTAATTTCACTTCTATGTTGGACACTGATTTTTCCTTTATTCCGCTTCTGGTTTCTGAGGAGGTCAATAATTTAATGACTAAAACTCCTTCTATGTATGAGATTAGAGAGAATTTAAATAGTATGAATGCAGAATCGATTGCCGGACCTGATGGCTTTACTAATAATTTTTTTCAAAAATTGTGGGACATTATTAAGAATGATCTTGTTAATGCTGTGTCAGATTTTTTTGGTGGCTCTAATTATCCTAAGTTTTTTACCTCCACTTCTATTGCTCTCATTCCTAAGGCTCAAAATGTTTATTCTTGGAATGATTATAGGCCTATTAGCTTATGTTCTTTTTTTAATAAATTGATTTCTAAAATTTTAATGGGAAGACTTGCTTCTATTCTTCCTAAGATTATTTCGTTGGAACAGTTAGGGTTTGTTAAAGGAAGATCTATATTCGACAACATTTTACTTGCGCATGAATTAATTCATGATTTAGAGAAAAAGGTTGTTGGTGGGAACATTATTTTCAAAATGGACATAACCAAAGCCTATGATAATCTGAATTGGGAGTTTCTTTATGCTGTGTTACGGTCCTTTGGTTTTAACTCTCAATTTATCAGATTAATTAAACATAGCATTGAATTCTGTTATTTTTTCGTTATTATTAATGGCAAACCTCATGGTTTTTTTCGTTCTTCTCATGGCCTTAGACAGGGTGATCCCCTATCTCCAGCTCTTTTCATTATAGAGATGGAATTTTTATCTCGTGGCCTCAACCAGTTTTTTAGAATGAATCCGAGTTTGTATTTTCGGTCTGGTGGTGTGTTGCCTCTGTCTCACCTAAGTTATGTCGATGATTTCATTATATTTGCGAATGGATTTATTTGTAATATTCAAAACCTTTTTAGTTTTCTTGGTATGTTTCAGAAGACTAGTGGGTTAACCTTTAATAAAGCCAAAAGCTCGTTCTTACCGATGAAATATTTAGGATCTCCTTTATTCAAAGGTCGTAAACGGTCGTTTTTATTCAATGATATTTTCAATGTCATTCAAAAGAAACTTAATTCTTGGGCTTTTAATTACTTATCTTATGGTGGTAGACTTGTGCTTATTAAACATGTTCTCTGTTCCATACCTATTTATTTGCTTCACACTATGGTTCCTACTATTAATGTCTCTAAAAGGTTGGAGGTTCTCTTCAACAAATTTCTTTGGGGAGCCAAGGCCGATTCTAAGGCTATCTTATGGGGGTCTTGGAAGAATTGCTCTGGGACTATGGATGAGGGAAAGATTAGATTTAAAACTATCCAAGAGATGGCTCATACTTTCAACTTTAAACTTTGGTTTAATTTTAGAGCTAAGAAGAATCTTTGGGCTAAATTTATGTTTTCTAAATACTATGGGGTTAGACATCCGTTAAATTGTGCCTTCAGATTTGGGTGATTCTCCTAACTGGAAAAGATTGTGCAATATTAAGTGGGAAGCGGAGGATCTCATCCAATGGGGTTTAGGTTGTGGCAATATTTATTTTTGTCAAGATAAGTGGTTGGATAACTTTTCTATCAATAATCTTTTAAATACCCGTTCTACTTCTCTTTGCAAAGTTAAGGAATTCTTTATTAATGACAATTGGAATATGGATTTACTTTACAATTTATTACCTAATTTCATTATCCAATTAATTGTGCGTATTTCTATACATTCGGATATGGAAGATTGTATTATGTCCACTTTTTCTAATGATGGCCTTTTTAGCTCTAAACATGTTTGGAAGTGGATCAAGCAACCTATGCCTACTAACTTCATTAATGTTGCTTATTGGCATAATAGCATTCCTACTACTTACTCTTTTTTGGTGTGGAGAATTTTGCATAACTATCTTCCTGTGATACTTTGCTTATTAAGAAAGGTTTCTTTATTGTGTCTAAATGTCAATGCTGCTACCACCGTGAAATCTTACTTCATGTTTTTTTTCAAGATCCCATTGCGATGAAAGTTTGGATTTATTTTGATAATCTTTTTAAAGTTTTTCCTACCATTAATTGCATTTCTATGAATGATGTTCTTACCGTCTAGTTTATTAAAATTAAAGGTCATATTCACAATATTATTCCTGTTTTGATTTGTTGGTACATTTGGTAGAGTAGAAATGCCTCTAAACATGTTAATGTTAGAATGGATGCGAATACTATCATTTCTAAAATTAAGCATAAAATTGTTTAATTGTTTGTGGCTAAGCTTCTCAAGAACGACTCTTTCAAGGGGTACCAACATTTGGTTAATGAGTTTGGTTTGAGTTTTCTTTCTCCTGTTACTGTTTCTAACAATAGAATCATTTTTTGGGAAAAATCTTTGGAGGGTTGTTTTAAACTTAATACCAATAGTTCCTTTAGTCTCTCTAGTGCTGGGTGTGGTGGCATTATTAGAAACAATAAAGGTTGTGTCATAAAGGCTTTTGCGGGTCCCTCCAATGCTATTAATTCTATTCAGGCTGAGCTGGATAGTTTACTTTACGGAATTAAGCTTTGTATTTCTATTGGTATTACTAATATTTGGGTGGAGGTGGATGCTATGCTTATTATTCACTATATCAATGTTCTGCTAATGCTGACAATTTCTATAAAATTAGGGATATTAAACATTTGTTGTCCCTTTCCTCCTTTACCATTACGCATATTTTAATGGAAGGTAATGCGGTGGCTGATTTACTTGCCAAATGGGGTTGCACTCTTCTTAACTTTGAGGAGTACGATGAGTACAACCTTCCCATTGGTGCTATTGGTCTTGCTAGATTAGATCGTTTGAACCTGCCTTATTTTCGTGTGCATTAGGCTGCCTGCTTTGGTTGTTTTCATGCTGGATTATTCTGTAGCTTGGTGTTTTTCCAGTGTTGTGTATCTGGATGGGGGAGTTATTAATGGCTTTTTCTACTTTCTTTATGTTACCTGCATTCCTGCTACTAAGCATTGTTGGTCCACCTCTATGGTTTGCTGCAAATTTTTGTCTGGGTGCATGGTTATCAAGAAGTTTTTGGCTGAGTTTTGCACTGATGTCCGGAGGGTGTCTGGCTCCCTTTCTTTAAAGTGTATTTCTTACTGTGAGTTCTTGCTGTTGGTGGATATTTTCCTGTTTATTTCTGTGCTTTTCTGGAATGGTTTTTGGGGTCATTTGGTTTTTTCTTTTCTGGAGCCTGGTTGCTGTTTTGGTTCTTATGTGTTTCCTTCGGATCTTTTCCTTCTTACTGGATGGGAAGAAGCATTTGCTTATTTTGTCTCTCTGTATCATGGGAGTGGTTTGGATGTTTCATATTTGTTTGTTCTGGGGCCCTTACTTTTATTCCGGTAACATTTTTAAGCTGGTGAATCTGATGAACTTCCTGTATCATTATAATATGTGTTGCATTTCCATTTGGAAGGGTTTTTACAGCTTCAATAGATGGAGGGAGAATGTTGATTATACGCTTTCTGATGTTATGATTCTTCTAGAGGTAAAAGTCCTTCGTTTCACTAGACTTTCTAAGTTGAATTTCACTGCTTACTTTTGGCTTTGGAGGACAGCCTGTTACTCTCTTATTTCGATACTACATTAAGGCGGTTTCATGGGTTTTTATTATATAAGATGTGCAATCTTTCTTACTTGTTTCTGTTGAGAGTTTTTTGCATGCCTATATTTTT